ACATCACAAAAAGAAATTGAAAGATGTAACATAAATATTAAAAATATTTTATTAATATATGATATAGGGAAGAAACACAAAAGAGACTGACACAAGAACAATCGAGAGCTGGAAGACTTAGGAAGAGTGCTTTTAAAACAGTGATCTATTCATATAAATAAACATCATATTTATCTGTAGAAATCTATAATTTTAGCATAATTTAGCTGGAAAGTTAAATATGACAGTCAATAAATCTTGATTTAATTTTGGATCTTAGTAAAAACTTGTATTTTATACTCCCTCCACAGTGATGCTTAAATTGACAAAAGTCCCCTGACCTCCCATTGCCACGCTAAAGACAGACGGGTGATAAGATTGTCCGGCTCTCTCTCTAGAATGTCAAAGCCCAGGGTGATCATTATACTAGAGATGATACATTTATTATTCTTGAATATTTTCATTATGTGACTATGTAACATGGAACATGCTTAAAGACAGTTTTAATTTAAATACACAGACATGTGGAAAGAAAATCCTCCAAAAATGGGAGTACACAAATTAAGAGCTTCATGATTTAAAAGAATGTATATACCCAGCGTATGCCTCTCATGTTTGTGACAAGAATTTGCAATCCAGTTATCAAGGCATCATATGTTATTTCAATATATTCTAAATTCTTGTTTATAAGTATGCTGTATTTGCGATTTTAATTCCCTGAATTAAAATCTCACCTTTACCCAAGCTTTTGACCATTCGAGGTGAATTATCTTGAGGTCCCAAATGAATGGTGATCCATCATCTTGAGGCTAAAATCTTCTATGACACACACACAAAAAATCATCACTGTCTTTGGATTTGTATTTAGTATATGACATCTCCCCCTGAAATTAACTAATATTACTACAACAGAAAGCTGAAGGAGCAGTATATGGTTCTGTGCAGTACAGACAGGAATCGCTGAAATTACTCAAGGGATTTAGAAATTTTTATATTAAAATTTAGATAAGAATATTTTGATTACAATTATAGAGTGGAGTATTCAGCATTGTAAGCCTAAATGAGGAATGAGAGCACATAAATTAATCTTCAACTGAAATTTAGCTCACAATGGGAGAGCGATTTTTGTTTTGTTTTATCTTGTTTTCTTTAAAGACAATGTCTTACAATGTGTTCCTTACTGGACCGGAACTTACTATGTATATGCAGCCGAGCCTAGGCTTGAACTTGCAGTGATCTTCTGTATCAGGATGCCAAGTAGTAGGATTGTAGGTATGCACCACCATGCCTACTGAAGCAGACTGTTATTCGGAACTGCATATTTGCTTCTTTCTTTATACTGACACCTTCCCCAAATATTCTGTGCTATTCTTTTATTTTTCCTCCTTTGGTCTTTTTTGAGACAGGGTCCCCCTGTAGCTCCAGCTGACCTGGAACTCACTATATAAACCAGGCTGGCCTTGAACTCAAAAGATCCTCCTGCCTCTGCCTCCGAAGTGCTGGGATTAAAGGCAAGCACCACCATGCTCAGCTCAGTGCTGTTCTTAAACACTTTCTTTTGTCAGAGAGTCAGAGACACAGAGAGAGGATTCCCTTATGAGCTATTGTTCTAACCATTTAAATTTTCATTGTAGCATATCATCATTAAATTTAGTTCAGAGAAATGTATCCAGGTCTACATAGTGTGAACATTCAAAGTCACATATTTATGATAGGCATTGAGAAACTTAGAATTTGTGAGTCATATTCTATGCCAACTCTCATCTTGACTCATATTCTCCCAGGGTGATCTTCCTCTCCTACCCAGTGTGACAGCTCTGTCCACATTACATTGTTTAGATCTATTAACCACATAATTTCTGTCTTAACTCATTCCATATACAGCAAAGAATAGTGGGTAGATGATGAGTGAGTGACTTAAATGTACAGAAAAGTACCTGACAGATGTTAATGTGTTAATGAAAAGTCTAATTTGAAAGACTTTTGTTTTTTGTTATATTTTATTTTTATGTGTATGAGGATTTTGTTTTTGTTTTTTGACTACATGCATGCAAATGTACCATGTGTATGCATTGCTAGAAGAGGCCAAAAGAGGCTAGAGGAGGATGTCAGATCCCCTGGAATTGGAGTTATGAATGGTTGTTAACTATCATGTGTGGGTGCTGGGAACAGAACCTAGGTCCTCTGCAAGGGCTTCAAGTGCTCTATATCACTGAGTCATCTCTCCAGCCCCCCTGCCATGTAATGTTTATGGAATTTTCTTTACCTCAGTTGCTCTAAACAATTACCAAAGACTATATGATGCCAAGCTTAATTGGCAGGAAATAACATTTCTTCTCTCTCCTTAGATTGTGTGGCCAGTGTCTTACACCAGAAGAGATGAATGCAAGTGGGCTGGGAAAGATATTCTGGTAAGCATTAATCTACTGAATTATTTGAGTAATTGCTTAATTTGTTGCTATGTGATCTCTTTTTGATATTTCCTTAGATATTAAACTTTATTGTGGATGTACTCACTAGAACAGTAAGTAGACTGTAAGTTCAATTCTGAAAGCATTTGACAGTAAAGAAAGTAGGTAGTAGTAACAGCATTAATAAATAATATATAATTTCTTTGATGATATATATGGAGAACTAGCAAACATAGTATTATAGTACATGTGCTTTATTAAATGTTACATTATTTGTGCAGGTAAAATTACGTAGCTTCATTGATGTTCTGTTCCTCTTGAATGATGATTTTCTTTCTATGTCATAATGATTAAATTCCCTTTTTGCTTTTTTTGTATTCCATCCTATTTCTTTCTCTTTTTACTTCCTGTTACTCTTTCTCCCTCCTTCTCTACTTCCTGTCTTTTAAAAAATAAGTATCAGAAAATAGTGATGTAACTCACAATATCCTAGGTATTATGGAGCAAAAACATGAAATGAATAGTATGTAATACTACAATGGTTTTACCATTTACCACTAAGTAAATAACTTTGACTTATGACCATTCTTCTTTATGTATGTTTTGTTAGTAAAATTAAATTGGCAATATGCTGGAAATATAACTAGGTATCTGCATAAACCATGAAAAGATGTTATAAACATTTAAATAGACAGTTTGCCATAAATTAATTATATGCTATGTAGTTTACATTATTCTATGCTTTATCAATGTTTTAGAATATTTAAAACATGAAGAAATAGCTAAAGGTTATGTCTATTTTAAAGTATTGGCATTTAGAAGAAAGTCACCCTATGTTCCCTAAAGACGTACATCAATCAGTATATAAGTATTTTCAAAAGATAATTTAATTATAACATCCTGCCGAAAGTGATATTAATATTCAGAATTATGTAAAGTAGGCAATTCATGAAAAAGAAAGACTCCTCAGTGATCAGTACAGACCTCCGGTGGAATAAAGTGGATTCCAAAATAAAGAGCATAGGAGTCCCCATTCTGGATGTATCTGTGCATTAATAGATACAGTGAAGCCACCCTTGAAAATTACATGCATGAACGTAGATGCAGTGTGATGAAATTATTCATGACACTATTCAAAAACAGCAAAGCCGACTGTGTCTAGGAGGACTACTCCAGTTGTGTTTTGTAGACAAGGATAGAAATTGAATTCCAGTCTAAATACAAGGACAAATAAAGATCAACAGTCAGAAGTAGGGTAAGGGCCACTGGGGGAAATTTCCATGATAAAACTTGTAGGGTAGAGAAAATTCAGACTAAGCTGATTTGCAAGGATTAATTTCTGAAGAAAAATCTGCGTCATAAATTCACAGGGTAAAGGGTAGAAAAGTTGATAAGATACTAGGGGCTAAAGTTTTTTTTTTCAACTAGCCAGGAGCATTCTTGCTAAAACTAATGTACACAGATCCACATAGAAATACTTGAGAGAGCAAGAGTTAGGCCAGGTGTCAGAGGATGGCAATTGTAAGTCACAATACACTTTCAGAGTACAGTAAACCTTGTTTTGGGAAAGCAAAAGAGGATGAAAAGAGATGTTCTCATAGTTTGTACTCTTCCACATGATGCATATATTGAGATTTTTGCAAAAGCAAAAATAGAACAAATAATGAAATCCAACAAGAGGAACAATGGTATGCTAATGCTTTGACTGAAACATTGAATGCACTTAGTTCCTCAATACTCGGGGCTTTCCTGTGTCATCCATTAAATGGAGGCCTAAATATTATAGAACAACTACTAAGAAGTTTAATGATTCTATGCAAATTATTAGAAAAGTAGGAAATAAAGTATAAATCCCCAAACATAATTATATTAGCAAGAAAATTATTAGCATTAAACTAACGTATTCACCATCAACAAATTATGTTGGAAAATTTCATTATGAAAGGTGGAAAAAATAGAAACAGCTTTATTATGCATAAGGAGCTGTTATGTAGAAAGAAGATCTCTCCAATGTTATCACTGTCTTAAAGGCAAGGAGACACAGAGAGCTATTGAGCAGCTATTCCTGGGCCAGGCATTAAGACAGTTCATGTAACATTTTGGAAATGTAGTTCTAACAATCCCTTTGTGAGAAAAGTGTATTTATCTCCATTTACTAGACCAGGAAATAAAGCAATTCAGAATAGTTATTCAAAACATTCATTCAAATATATTGTGAAAGTTTAAATTTTATGTAAGAGGTTAAGATAAAAATTTGTTTCACAGGCTGGGAAGATGGTGCATTTGGTAAAGTGACTTCTATGAAAGCAGGACAGCTTGAGTTTGGATCCCTAGAACCCAAAGAAAAAGCCTGGAGTGAAAGAACACTCCTATGTTCCCAGCCTGGAAATGGGCAAAAACAGGTGGACCACTGAAGCTCACTGGCCAGTCAACCAGCCAAATCCATGAGCTTTAGGTCAATGACTGATCCTGTTTTGCTAAAATAAAGGTGGAGAGCAATGGAAGAAGACATGGACATCCAGCCTTCATCCTCCATGCGCACACACACTGACCTGTATGAGCGTCTGCACTTAATGTGTATACATTCACTCTAACAATTACACCCTTCCACATACAAACAAAACAAACATTATTTTTTATGTGTAATGGACTATTTGGATTCAAATTTTCCCAGTGATACATATATGACATATAATAGAATTGAACCAATGTCTTACTTTTTCTCATCTCATAAAACATCTAACTAACAATAACCAACACAGTATTCCTATAAAGGTCAAAGAACCACAGGTGAAATTATTGTAACACTGAAATATTAGCTATTAAGAATATTAATGAGAGAATACTGACCAGTATCATTACCTTGTTGGTGCATGTAATATTATATATCCTAAGTGAAAGGTTTGTTTTGGTCCTTTTCTTATGATCTGGACCATAGCAATGCTTCACTGTTCTGAATTTTATTTAATCAGAGCCTTGAAGATTATATTTGTCTGACAAATTACCTGAAGTTTATGCTAAATATGAAAGCTAAGTACTTATCATATTTGATTGCATGAATGAACCAGTCTATTCTATTGGTAGGATGGCAAATACTCTACTCAGCTACTGTGACTTTCAAAATGATTCATTCCAACATCTATCATCTTTCATCGATCATTCTTCTCTCTCCCTCCTCCTTCCCACCCATTCTGCATCTCCCTCTCCCTCTCCCTCTTGCTCTTGCTTTCTCTGTCCCCCTCCCCATCCCCCTCTCCCTCTCCCTTAGCCTTCCGCCTCCCTTCTTTCCCTCTTGTATCTATTGACACCTGAGCAATTCTGTTGCTAGCTCAGTTGCTGTTAGTTCAGCAACTACAAAAATCTCATCACCTAACGGGTCCCTAGTTTAACACAATTTCAAAATCAGAGGTGCATCTCTTATAAAAGCAAACTTATCATGTTTCCCAGGCTTACTGAAGATGTTTATGTCTGCTATGAAACTTGATTAAAAAGCACAAATGCTTGAAACTGCTAAATCTGATATAGTATACTACTGGTATTTGATTGTGTGACAGCAACTTATAAAGATGCTGAAAGATTATAGGTTAAGTCCTTACACTGTAGTAGAGATAGGAGCAAGAATACATACATACAACACACACACACACACACACACACGTGTGTATGTGTGTGTTTTGCCTGCATGTATATAAGTTTATTAGGTGTATGCAAACCTGAAGAAAATAGAAGAAGGCATTAGATCCACTGGAACTTGAATTTAGGACTGTTTTTAGCTGTCATGTATTTGCTGGGAACCAAACTAGGTCCTCTAGAAGAGTAACTAGTGTTCTCAAACACTGATCACTTCTCCAGCCCCAGAAATCTAGATATTATCAGGAGTACAACCGCAGGGTAGTAGTGGCAAACTACTACTAAAAGTTCAAGGACTGAATACAACATTGTGAATATGAGCCTTGATATTCCTTTATATTCTTCATTAAATCAATTTTCTTATTGATTATTAATTTTCTCCATTAATCTTTATCTAGTAAAATAAAAACACAATTATGTTATGTATTTTATTTCAATTAAGTGTTTTGCTTTGTAGTTTTAGTTAAAATTAATATGTGCTCCAAATAATTTATCTATTTAATATATCTTGTTCTATAATTTTAATTTAATATTCCTTCTCGTTTTTAAAGATATATTTTATGCATTTGGAATATATTTTATTAAAATTAATCTTATTTGTTGATCAAACTCATTTAAGTATTATCTCAATTTATATATTCATTACATTCATATTGGATGAACTGCAGTCCATGGTTATTTTTAGACTTTAATTTTCTGATCCATTTTTTCATTTCTTTCTCTACATGTGATTTTGAAACCATGACTAGATGACTTGTTGAGATTTGCAACACTTCTTGATACACACAAGAAAATAAGTACCACTATTATTTTAAACAATAATGTAAATAACTAATTTGAAAGAAAGATTGAAAACGAGTGTTTTTCATTCAACCCCTGATTTGTGCTATGACAGGGCAGTTTCATGGACATTCAACACTGTATTTTGAGTAAATGGTATCAGCTGGGATTTATGGACAATAATTCTTTTTCAAAATACTCTTGTGGTCCTAGAAACCACAAGACTGAAGCTTGAGAGTTCTGTAGCTATCAGGACTGGACAGCAAGATAGAATGATAATCAAAATTAAAACTGACTTGCACATTTACATATAAAAAACGACAACCTTTTATGTGTTCTTTCTGGTTTGTGGAATATGGGTTTACCCTTTCTTATCTGTTTTTTTCCACAACTCCTCTGAATATAAAATCTTTTTTAAAAAATACTTTATTATTTTTATTTTATGTGTATGTGTGTATTGCCTGCGTGTAGATAAGTGCACCCATGTTGTGCAATGCCCATGGAGGACAGAAGAGGCTGTTGGATCCCCTCAAACTGGAGTTAGAACAGTTGTTAGCTGCCATGTGGATGCTGGATTCTAACCCAGGTCT